ACCGGTTGAAAGTTTTCAACACGTTCGGCAGTACCCGAAAACCTTCTTGGACTTGGATCAGACCGATGGGAGGCAATTCCCGCATAGATTTCTTGACCGTCAAGCCCCAGGGGCACTCTGGCATCTCGGCTTGGACAGACTACACGGCACCAGTCAGTATTCAAGGAGTCCGCGATCGTCGCCCTATTGTTGGCGTCCTTACCAGATCGCTGGATATCACGGGTCCACCCAAGAAGTCGATTCCACGTTGGGACCGTGCGTCCCTCTCAGCAGCACTCAAGTCAATACAAGGTATCCCTGAATATGATTTGGCACAGTGCGTTTCGTCCGATTCGGTTGGCGTGCAGAGGGCTCTTCACTTTCGCACCTTAGTTGAGGCAGGTCTTGGTAAATGGTCGTTGGAGGCACTCGCTTTCAGCGACCCTGGCCGTGGTTACGAACAACTTTAAGACTTGCTCCAACGAAGTGGTATCGCTGCTGGCTTTGTCTCCGCCCAGGCCAACGTACGCCCAGTCGTCTGTCTGCACTCCAGGCGTCCACCCTGAAGCTGATAGAGGAGAAGCACCGGTGGCTCAAGATCTTGAGCGACGTCAACTTTCACGACATCTTCGTTTTCTGTCAGCTGCACTTCTACGTGGCTCACATGGCCACGGTGGCAGCGAAGAAGGCCAAGGCGACGATTCGGCAAGACCGCAGGGCGAACGCCCAGCGCCTTGCCATGGAGGCGAGGGAAGCTTTCTCCCGCGGCGACCCACGAGGGGCCTTTAAATTCATTCCTGCGTTAGCCCCAAATAGAAAGGCATCTGCCGTGTCCATTCGGCTGGACGGGGAGCTCTGCTGGTCCACGCGTCAGGAGCTTACTGCCCGCGAACGCGCCTTGGGAAGTATCTACGGCTCTCAGCGCGTCGACCTTCAGCCACCTGACCCTGGTGCTCCATCAACCCCGGCAGCACTCCCCGAGTGCCAGGGCGGCTACGACGTCTTCACACCGTCCATGCTTGATTCCATGATCAAACGGACGCCGAACTTCAAGGCTGGGCCATCGATCTCTGCCTCGCGCCATGGTGGGCCGCTGCGGGGCGCAGTCAGTGAGCTGTTCAAACCAGCCTCCGGCGTCATCGCGGAAGCCTTCGCTGAGCTGTCCACGGGGATGTGCGCGCTCGTGTCGTCGCCTGCCTCATTCAGGGATGGTGGCATGGCTTCGCCGCTTCGCAAGCCCAGTGAAGGAGACGGCTCGGACCCTGAGAACGACTACAGATATTTGTCTATGCTCGGCCACTGGGAGAAACAGTTCACCAAAGCCTTTCTCGAACCTGCGACTTTAGATTTTGCCTCAGCCTTCCTGCCAGCACAGTTTGGAGGGCCCCCTGAGCCCTCCACGCGGGGCGCCATCAGCATAGCATCGTTAAGGAGATTATCAACCGCGCCACCTGCGCCGCCAACCAGCGTCGCAGCCATGCTAGATCTCGTTGGATATTGGTGCAAGCGCTCTTTGACCCCGGCAAGGCATTCGACAAAGTCGACCGTGAAATGCTCTGGGACACACTTGCTTCTCTGTGTGATCGCGCACGCCTCCGCCTACTGCTGGAGGAGGCGCAGAATGGCACTTACATGCTGCTTGAGGATTGACGTACTGGCCGCAGTGCGCGGCGCCTTTCGGTTCGTCAGGGCGCGCGCCAAGGGTCAGTAGAAGGGCCCATCTGTTTCGTCACCCTTCTACGACGTAGCCCTGAGGCTCATCCAGGGCGCGAGGGGCGAGGACAGCTATCAATTGGCGGCAAAGCTCGCCCCGCAGTTTGACAACTTCCTCGGGCTAGGTTCGCGCAGGTCGGCGGCGTGCGCATCAGTGTCCGTGAGCACGCGAAGTACCTGGGCCCCCGTGCTGCAATTTCGGCGACGCCGATGGTGGAGGCCAAGGCTCGCGTGAAGGCCGCTTCCGCAGCCCACCATCGCCTCTCCACGCGTTTCTGGAAGTGCCACGCTTTCGACTTACAGGCAAAGATGGCTTTGTGTATTGCGTTAGCCCGTTCTATCTTGATGCACGCCCTGGAGGCGATGTTCTGGCACACCGCTGCATTGCTGCGTTTAGAGAGATTCCAGACCCACGCCTTCGACACCTGGCGCGTTTGCCCGCGCACCTGACCAGAGTGAAATCTGAGGCAGTACGCAAGCAATGCAATGTCCCTGCGGTCGAGTCGTCCTTGAGACTCAAACGATCGCAGTGGATTCGGAAGGTAGTCAGCCCCGTGTTCAGGGACGATGCTAACAACCCCCTCTTCGGCACCCTCGAGTACGATCCCACCATTGCTGTCAGGGCCGCGTTCTTCGGGCGTTTCGATTTCGAGGGGGGGGGAGCCGAGGGGAAGATGACGGTTAGACAACGCACAGTCCAATCGGACCTGCAGCTGCTTTATGATCGCGGGGATGGTGCTGTACGAGGGCTTGCGTCCCGGCTCGGCGCGGATTGGATCAGCTTACTGCTACTTGGCTGGAGTGGCTGGCTCGGACCCCGTTCGGATCCATCAATGCTGTGGTCACATTTGTTTCTACTTTGCTGGGGGCCCTCCAGAGCCTCACACACCGTGTCCTGAATGTGGCGTGCTGTGCCGTAGACCCCGGGGGCTCAGTATCCATCTTGCCCGAAAGCATAGACTAGTCGAGTCTGTTCCTCTCTGCCAGCTCCAGTGCCATCAGTGCTTCATGACTTTCACCTGACGCGGCAGCCTCATACGCCACCTCCGCTCCAGATGCAAGGTTGGAGTCGCTGTGGTCCCCGAGTTCCGCGCCCATCCCCTCCGGTAATTCCAGTGGCCCCCGACCCGGCCCCTGCTGCCGGTGACGGTCCTAGCCGCGGGAACGCTGGCTCAAGCCTGGATCCGAGATTTCACGACGCACCTGCCGCTCCTGCCCGCATAGTGGGCGGCCATGTTCGAGGCGATCTCGCCCCCGCCGCGCAAAGTGGCCAAGGTCGAGGGCGGGGGGGCGCGCGCGGCCGCCTCGCGGCAGGTTCCAGACCTCCCGGGGGGCAAGAAGGACAAGGACAAGGTTAAGGGCAAGGACAAGCCCGCGGCCGGGGACGTGGACGACGAGGGCGATCAGGTTCCGAACCCGAAGGGGAACAGGGGCAAGGAGCTGCGGCTGCTGGAGGCTCAATCGCGGCCGACGTTGCCCCTGGACGACGAGCGGGCCCAGACGATGCGCGACCAAAACGCGGTGTTGACCGGGCCCGAAGACCGCCCTCTGATGGTGGAGATGGCGGCTACGGTGGATCGATACGCGGCGGCAGGGTCGTGGCGCGCAAAGAGGCGCACGAGGCGGGCGAGGATTTCAAGGGCCACCCGCATGGCAAGAAGCCGACGGCGCTGCTCAATTCCTTGATCTTCCGGCTCGCGAACAAGATGGAAGAGCGAGCACAGGGAGGCCGCGCTCGTGCGCGTGGAGGACGAGAATGGGGCATAGGGGCGCGCGGCCGCCGATAAGGCGCTCGCGTGGTTCAAAGTCGTGGGTGGGTCAGCGCAGCGGTCCCTAATCTCGGCTGCGAGGTGCTTCAGCGTGCGCGTGGAGGATGAGGAATCCGGTGGTGATACAGTGTACTGCACGTGGATCTTCGCAGCCAACCGCGTGCCGCACTTCCTGGAGATGTGGTGTATCTTCCAGGATATGTGCCTGACGCGCGAGCTGGGCCTCACGGTTGGCCCCGACCACGGCCCCAGATCCAAGTACGCTAAGGAGGTCTCTAAGCTCGCCTTCGGGGCGAAGGGCAAGGGCAAAGGGAGGGGCGGCCTCTTCCAGGCTAAGAAGTAGGTTCTGGAATGCGAGTCTTGTTTTTCGGGGCATGCCAGCCCGTCGATCTATTCCGGCTGCCTTCGATATGCGAGACCCGAGTGAGCGATTCGCATTGCAGCTCTGATACGAATCAACTGGTACATATTGTGCCATCTCAAATTTGTACACGCCAGGTGCGCCGAGGGTGGTCGCAGAGGCAGCCCCCCTCGTGCACCACGGCAGTGCCGGTTGGTAGGAGACGCGTCGTGGGCAGACGCTCTACGATGATGTGTGGCAGACGCCGCCAGTCCGCATATACCGCATGGCACGATTAGCGCTTGCAAAAAATATTGGGGCCCCCGGGGGCCGAAATATATCCATATCCACCGCCCGCCAGGGCACCAGGACGTCAGTTCCCAGGCGGTGGATATGCATAAGTCCCCGCATCGCAGTCTTCGGAGCTGGCGGAGTGGGGTCTTGCGCGGCGGGCGCGGCAGGAGCGAGGCATCGCGATCGGCACGGCGGCCACGACTGCGAGAGTCGGCGCCGGAAGTTGCCCATATGGCCGCTGGTCTGGGCACTCTGGCCGGCGCGGGGGGTCTCTGCTCAACAGGGTCGGCGCACGTGTTGCGGCGCGCGCCCGCGGAGCGAATGCGGCGCCTCGCATGGGTGTGTAGGTTCGTGTCTGTGTTGGTGGATATCGCTCGTGGTGGAAACGAGGAAACGAGTCATGGCTCATGTGAGGGAGCCGCTTCCCAGCGCGGCAGTACATGTTCTGATGGAAACGGGCGACGTAAAGTAGACAGAGCAGGAGGTGGATGAGATGGATGTGTCAGACGGGAAGGAGGTGGAACATTCCATAATGTCGTAATTAGACAGCCCCGTTGATGGAATGCGGTGCCACGCTGCAGTCATCACGGGAGCAGTAGGAAAGGGAGAAGCAGGCGAGACGGGAAGGGGTGGGGGTGGCGAGGGGGAATGACCCAGACGAGGTCTCAGCTGGCGTGTTCCAACACGAGGCACTAAGGCATACTTAGTCTACCTTGAGGTATTCCTGAGTCCGTCTTGGGACTCCATTGGGCAATCTTGGAGCCATCTTGAGGCCTCAGAGGCCGATCGGAAGCGAAGGGGCGAGAAATAAGAAAGAAGCACAAAAAACGATGGGGGACCAGGAGGATGAGAGAGCGGGAGAATTTGGAGCGCGAGGGGGCGTGAGCAACTCCACTCGGCTATAGGCGCAGTCGGAGGCCGACTCCCTGAAGAAGGTGTGGCACGGCCCTTTCAAGGACCCGCGCTCGGAGAGCGAGTACTACCACGACAGGATCGGCTTTTCTTCTCACATTGACATCTGGGCGTTGCAATGTGCTCACGCCAAGCGTTTTCCCCCAGTTTCGGACCCCGGGGCCCTCTGATCCATCCGGCTCGAAAAATGCCGCAGAAAGAAGGGTCTAGGGCTTTGGACCTAATTTGTCGCGATGCTGCATTGTTTCACAAAGTCGGATCTCATGCCAGAGTGGGGGAATCCAGGGAAGGCGAGCACGCGCACGACCAAAAGGCCAAGATTGGGCAGGGAGCGTTGTTTGCTTCAATCGGCGGCTTTTACTTCGATCGGCGGTGTCTCGGCCGCGCTCGCAGGACAGCTTGTTGTCGGCGTCACCCCAGCATACTTATACTGTATGTCCGTCGCCACCCCAGGGGCGACGCCCGCACCGAGAAATCTTATAGTATATGCGTCGTGGCGGGTGCTTTCTGGCCTCACCGCTCGGGAAACGATACGCTACAAGATGGGTATACTATATGTTCGGGTCGGACGCGCGCCTCCAAGGAGGACATATGGTATCAGTATGTCTCTGTGCGTCCTGTGCTGAATGGGCTACGATCTAGGCGGTCTTTCTACATCAGGCTGGTGAGCTTCAGGAGGGGAAAAAGCACACAGACACAATTAATCTTCGATTCCTCAGAAAATATTGGAAAATATGGAAAGTGGGGGGGAAGACAGAAACCCGGAAAATATGGGGAATCTGTTTATTTGTGTGTATTTATTTGTGTGTGTCCCAGGGCCCCTTCAGAGTTGTCTTCCTCATCCGTGGTGCGGGACAGCCCCCTCGAGGGGCAGCGGGTTGTCCGCTCTGCCACGCCTCGTGGCGCAGGGAAGGAGACGGGCAGGGCGCGCGGGAAAAGGCGCGAGGAGGGCGGCAGGGCAGAAGGCTGGGGCACGAGCAGCGGCAGCGGTGTCTCGGCAGCGCCAGGGGGTACCTGCAGGAAGCGGCAGTGCCGTGCTGGAGAGGAGGAGCGGCAATGGGGGAGACGAGACGGGGGATGACCAGCGGCAGGGCATGATCAGTTATGGCAGGAGCGGCCGCACCAGGAGACAGAGGCGAGGCAGGCAGGAGGCGGGAGGTAGAGCGAGCAGGGAGGACGGAACGGGGGTCGGGAGGAGGAAGAGGGTGCGAAGGAGGGGGAGGAGGGGCACGAGCAGGAAGAAGAGGGGAGGCAATAGGATTGGGACACTGATTGAGAAGATAATTGAGACAGCGGGGTGGTTGCAAGCATGCAGACTGAGTGCCTTTCGCAAGCTTGAATCACCATCCCCAACAGCGGGCGAATCCTCAAAAAGAATGCAGTCTGGCCTCGCCGCACACTGCGACCATGTCAGCAGCACGCCTACACTTCTCCCTACGGCGATGTGAAGCACAATTGCGTCGTACGCGCGAACACACTTTTTTGCTTCGCGACTGGATGGTCCAACACAGCAAGGGGCAATAGCGGGCTGCGCTAAGCTGATTACAATTGAACGTGTGCCGATCGGATGCAAACCTACCAGCAGGTTGCGGGTGCAGAAAAGGTGCCGAAGGCCATGCACGTGCGAAGGCATGCGAGGAGATCCCGCTTAGCCGTGGCGCGACGGGGGCGGGCAAGAGGTGGGCGACTGCGGCGACGGTGTCCGCCAGGAAGGTTTGTCCACTTGGGGACCGAGTCAGCAGGCGTCCAGGGCAAGCGTGTGGAGGCCCCCCAGCAGGCGCAGTTGCGCCAGCGCCAAGGTGGACGACCCGTCAGAGCAGGGGCAGAACGAGGCAGAGGAGGGGACGACACCCAGGAGCCGGGGCGATACCGAAGCCAGCAGCGATCCGACGACCAGGGGAGGGAGGACGAGGCCCCGGGCGACAGCCCGAAGGACGAGCAGGGAGAGAGCAGAGGAGCGACGCACGACGGCTGAAAGGAGGAGGACGACCCACCAGGAGGCGCACTAAGACGAGCAAGCCTTGGGAGGCCGCCTGGCCATAGCCGAGGAGGCGGCTCCAAAGGGGGGGCAGGGGGGGGGAGGGCAAACCCAGGGCTTCCCGGGGAGGCAGACCGAGCAGTAGCCCAGCCGGCGACTCCGCGATGGGTCGGGGGAGCATGTCTTCCACTGAGCACAAGAAAAGATGCGCCAGGCTGTACGGACTGGGCTTGGCAGTAAGACGACCAGCGACGGCCCCAGAACATATGCCAGCTGCAACGGACAGCAGCGAAAGCAGCAGAGGGGCAGGAAGAGGCGAGTGTGGAGGAGAAGAAGGAGGAAGGCTAAACCCCCGACTGAGCGCGGCCCCGATGCGCCCGAGCACGCTGCAGGCCCACGTGTGGCGAGGGGAGGAGATGTGCACCACAGACCTAACTGGAGTTCCTGGCGTACCGTCTGAGAAGTCAGAGGAGGAACATGTACTCCAGATTTCGCAACAAAAGGGAGGGGGTCTCATTTCGGGGGGGGGTCTCTTCCAGGCTATCTTGGAGGGCCTGGGGGGGTCTGGGGACGACGTTCTGGAGGGTTCTCCCACGGGGGGGGGGGGTCTGAAGTGGCTCGTCTTGGAGGGTCCAGACCCCCTCCCTTTTATTACGAAGTCTGGAGTAACCTCTTGCTCCTCTTTGGGAAGCCAAAAGGTACCGATACCGCCACTCCCCACGCCTCTCCTGGGGCGCGTCCTGGCCAGGATTTCGAGGCGAATCCAGCGGTGGCGACGAGGCCTCTCCGGCGACGAGATCTGGAGTACCCATACCTCTGCCCTTCCCTCGTTTCCCCTTCACTGGGGCCTCCGGAGAGCCCCTCGTCGCCACCGCTGGATCCCCGCCTCGAGATCCGGGCCAGGACGCACCCCAGGAGAGGCGTGGGGAGTGGCGGTATCGGTACCTTTTGGCTCCCCGAAGAGGAGCAAGAGGTTACTCCAGACTTCGTGATAAAAGGGAGGGGGTCTGGACCCTCCAAGACGAGCCATTTCAGACCCCCCCCCCGTGGGAGAACCCTCCAAAACATCGTCCCCAGACCCCCCCAGGCCCTCCAAGATAGCCTGGAAGAGACCCCCCCCCAGAATGAGACCCCCCTCTCTTTTATTGCGAAATCTGGAGTACCTTTTGGTTCCCCAGAGAGGAGCAAGAGGTTACGATAGCGATACGTTCCCAGGTTCTCTGATGTCTCAGATCGTCCATGTTTCACGAGGGTTGCAGAGACGAAGACCGCCAGAAATTCCTGAGCTCCCGGAGCGCCTCCTCAACCAACCGCATTGTGGCATCATTCTCGCCATTGTACCTTATCTCCTCAATCTGGATTTTGTCTGCGTACGTCATCCCCTCAGGAGCAACGTCACGGGGCGATGAGCTCGGGAGGGATGCATCGACCCCCACTCGCCCATTCATCGCCGATATGGGGTTCGATAGCCCACCACGCCCAATGACGTGAGGTTTTGCAATCGGGGCCCCGTCGCCGTTCTATCGGCGATGTATCGCCGATTCCAGCTCACTGCTCCCTCCCCTGAAGCCGGTCCCCTGCTACCGCTGCCCCTCCTAATCGCGCTCCGCGCGTCGCGGTCGGAGCCAGAGCGGCCGCTGCTCTTCGTTGGGGGGGCGGCGCGAGGGCGCGAGGGCGCAAAGAGGACCGCGCCGTGCGCACGACGTGGGGGCGCGATGCGCGAAGTTCGGTGACCTGGGATCCTCGCTCCCACTCGTCCCCGCCCTGTCCCTGTCGCCCGGGGGGGCCCTGGGCGCGGCTGGCATGGCACGACGGGCGGCCGCTGTGCGGTTCGGCCGTCTGTCGAGCCTCGCGATGCCCTCGCTCTCCGTGTCCGGGGGCCTCGCCAGCGGGCTTCAAGACGGCCCAGGAGAGGCCCCCGAGGGTTCCAAAAGGTCCCCAAGAGAGCCCCAAGAGGGTCACAGGAGGTCCACAAGAGGGCCCCGAGACGCCCAACAGAATCCCCAGTTCTCTTGGAGCCCTTCGTGCCCCCTGTTTGGGGTATCTTGGCGGATTTCGGAACCATATCGAGGCGTGTGGGGGCCCCTCTTGGGGCTGCATTCTGCATGGTCTCGGAACCCTCCTGAGGCGTTGGAAGATTGTTGGAAGGGAAGCGGCGAGCCAGGCGCGTTTGAAGGGTCCAGACTCTCAATCGGCCCGCCTGCGGAGCTCCCAGGCTGAGCGGCACCTCCGTCTGGGAGGCCCCGTGGGCCGGCGCGGAGTTCCTGGTGCGCGTGGTGGAGACGCTGCTGGGGTCCGACACTCTCGCCATGCTGCGGCCGCGGCGGCGCGCCGAAGGACCGCACCGGTCCGCTGAGGGGTCGACGTCGACCGGCGGCACCCAAAGTGTGTGGTGACCGCAGCGCGTGATGAGTTGGTGGGGTTCCGGAGTCACCGCAAGGTTCTGGGACTCGGGTCGTTGTCCGAGGGCGTCTCGGACGACTGGGGCCTCCAGGGTCCCAAAGCCGTGCAGTGACGGACCGCGCGGTGAGGTTTCTTTGGGTTCCGAGGTCACCGCGCGGTGTGTCACCACACCGTTTTGGGGCCCCCAAGACCAGGGTGCGTGGCGACTTCGGCGCCGCGGGGGAGTTGGGCACCCAGAGAGAGCCCCAGATCCTGGTGTTCACGGCGCAAACAATTGGCAATCAGCACGCTGAGGGGCCCAACTTGCTGACACCCTCTTAGCGTGGGTCGGTGGTGTACCCTCGAAACAGCTCCGACTACGTTGCACCCGTCGTAATGCGTTGGTCTCGAGACCCCTCAGGTTGCCTTCGAACGCTCCCTTGGCGTGCGCACAAGGTTATCCCAGACCCGCTTGGCCTGCTTCCAGCTGACATCGCACTCGAAGGAGCGAAGTCAAGAGATGTCCGAGAGATTGTTGTCAGAAGTATTCAATAATTGCCAAAGACTTGCAGGACACATTGCGACGTCTACAGCTGATGAGATTTGATGCGCGGCGCGAGATTAACTCCAGAAAGCATTTAAGAAACCCCCCGGCGATATCGTAGCACCGCATTTTTTTATTCGATATTCCGAAGGGCCGAAATAACCGAACGATAGCTGTAGCACCCGGACACGATGATGATGATGATGATGATGATGATGATGATGATGATGATGATGATGATGATGATGATTGATGATGATGATGATGATGATGATGATGATGATGATGATGATGATGATGATGATGATGATGATGATGATGATGATGATGATGATGATGATGATGATGATGATGATGATGATGATGATGCGGATGCGGATGCGGATGCGGATGCGGATGCGGATGCGGATATGGATGATGGTGCGGAAGGGTTATCGATTTGCCAGGGGGGGTTCTTAAATGCTTCCTGGGATCACCATTGCGTTAGGATCCGTCGACGGTCCGCTGGCGATCCCTTCGCTAGTTGTCGGATATGGGTATGCGATGTGTTGCTGGGAGAATGGCACGATTGCATGCTTTGGAGCCCTGGGCTCGGCGCTCGGCACGAAATGCACACCGTGTGACCACACAGTCGTCATGCCGCTGCACTCCTCGCCAGGAAGCCACGCGGAGGACGCGATCGGGTCACGCCCACCGTAGCAAGTGTTGCTCCCGTATCGAACGCATGTCTGACGTCGTTCATTCGACGATCCGCCCCCTCTGATTGTGATGACGATCGCACGCTTCATCTTCCGGCCCAAACATCCACCGCTGCAAGTTCTTCGGTGCGTGGACCCCTGGAGGTCTGGACAACTTCCCAAGGGCCGGTTGTTCATCCTGCACAGTCTTGTGCTGTCCCGGGGCCCGCTGAGGGCCCCCAGAGGCCGAACATTGCCCCCCAAACCAGCCACTCCGATTGTGTTCGAAGCATCGGATCTCTGGAGCCATTGTAGTCGCAACGTCCACGGTGCACGGAGCCTCCCCCCCCGAAGGCGATTCCGCTGCCCGGAAGGCCACCAGCGAGCGCCCCGAGCCCGCGCGCATGCAGGGCCAGGACGTCCTCCTCCTCCTCCTCCTCCTCCTCCTCCTCCTCCAGCTCCTCCTCCTCCTCCTAATCCTCCTCCTCCTGCTCCTCCTCCTCCTCGTCCTCCTCCTCGTCCTCCTCCAGCCGCCGCCACGGCCCACAGAACACACACGCCGCGGCCGACGGTGCCCCCACAGGACACTCGCCAGAGGAGCAGCCTCATGTCCTTTTTTCTTCTCTTCTCGCAGGGCCCGCTTGGCCCATGATGAGAGGGTGGGGCCGCCCCTCGCGGGAGCGTCGGCTTTTCGCCGTGGACGGTCTGGCTTCTGCTTCCAGCTATGACGGCAACGGAGGCGGCCTATTCTCAGACGAGATTGAGCACGAGGATCTGCACAGCCAATCCGATGTATTTGACAGGCGCCACGCGTGCGACCGAGCTGCCCGAGGAGTTTCGCAACATGAGCACGATTATCATACCTGGAACGGGACGTCGACAATACGAGGGCCGACATCACTGATTCGTTCATCCATGCCATTTGGAAGTGTCATTCGGATGGTCACGAGCAACGACGAAATCATGCGGCACCAGCATCTTTCTTCACAACCGCAGGATACCCCCCACCACCGAGACTGGCTGGCAGATGCGGGGCCGTGCGTCTCAAGACATCGAGCTCCGACACGCTGATCACGGCCCTGTATTTCCCAGTGCTGCCATCCACGCGCGCTGGACAAGCTGAATACAGAGCTACGGCGCAGGGACATGCGGCTTGGGCACGCGATACTATGAACTCAGCGGGAGCACGATGCGCAGTGTTTGTCGGCATCGACCTCAACGATCGCTTGGACTACGCCAAAGCGGACCACCACATCGGCGGCGCCGACACCGACAACCGCCAGCACCACCACCACGCCGACGCTGGGGACCATTCGGTGGGCTCCATTGCGGCCAAGGATGAGGGTCTGGCTGGACGAGTGTGGCACCAGTTTCTGATCGACACGGACATGGCCGCACTGAACACATTTACCGGCGCGGGCCCCACCCACTTCGGGGCCCAGAACCATTGCAGCCGCATTGACTTCATCCACGCACCGACGGCACTTCGGCCCCACACTCGCGTCTGCAAGACGCTGGTGGCGACAAGACGACGCCTGCAACCCATCAACACGCTGCACGACCGCGACCACCGACCGTTGATGGCCGAGATCCATTACACCTTCGAGGCGCATGCGCGCCAGAGGTACACCTGGGACTACGACGCGATCATGGCGCGGCTGCGCGGCAACGACTCCTGCATCAACGCAATCGTCGCCGTACACCAAGCGGTCCTGGACACCGATGTGAGCGACTGGATCCGACTCTGCGCTCGACCAACTTGCGACGAGCTGTGGAGTTCGATCGCAACCACCCTCATCGCCAAGTCTCAGGAGCACTTCCTCCAGCCAGCCGCACACCAACGGAGAAGACGGACCTGGAACGACAACGCAGCACAGCACTTTAACGACGATGCCAACTACGAGACGCCAACATTGGACGATACCACCAGGACTACCTCGAAGTGGAGACCGACCTTGTCAGACTGACCCTCCGCACCTGCAAGCTGTCGAAGGCCATCACTATCAATGACAATGCAGCGCACACACAGCAGATCAACGAAGCGTGGGCCGCACACGACCACTACCTGGTACAACGCTTGTTCCGACGACTTTTACGACGAGGAAGAGGACCACGTCAAAGGAGATACTTCATTCCGAGACGAGACGTGCGAACCTTGCGACATCGCGGAGTACTTGTGCCGTCCTGCCGCGGAGGGCGGCCTCGCGGCGGCTCCATGCGACCTTCAGCATGAAGGAACCGAGCGCTTCGACCGAACCCACCGGAACGACGAGATCCACTGAGCGGACCAGATGCGCCACGATACGATGCAGGCCTGCGATTTGGAACAGGCAGAACAGGACCTTTCAGGCATCATTAAGGAACTTCGGCGAGCTCCCAACCGACGGGCGACGCCGGCTTGGTCGATGCCGTCGGAGCTCGGTTAGTCCCGTTGGACCCAGGCCAATGGGTGACGTTCCAACGCGGCGGGCTGGGCAGCGACCGGATACCTGAGACGCCCCAGGGCTTCAATGAACGCATGATCGACATCTTTGCCTCGCTGCGACGGACTCGCCCCGCACCTCTGATCTCGGACGCACCCCCCGGGTCTGGACAAGCGCAACGGGCGAACAGGGCCAGATGGGCAATGTTGGATCCACCTGTTCCGGCCCATAGGCAAGAGCTGGAGCGCCTACCTCTGGCACCGCGGACAGCCACACCGCGAACGGCCCCCATGCTACTGTCACGGTTTTGCTCGGCGCCGCAGGCGTGAGGACGCCATCGCGGCGCAGGATTGCGGGCCCTTGAGATCACAGCGCCTGGGGCTCGCTCGCACGATAGTCAACGAGGACGCTGCACACGCGATCGCCTGCGTCAAAAGACATATGATCCATGACGCGATCGACTCTGTCTGCCACCCTGAGGATACCCACTTTCAGCACGTGCGCAGCATCCGGGGGGGCCATGCACATAGACACCACCCACGAGGGCCCGATCTGCCTCCGTCCGTAGTCAGGAGAACTCGTGGGCCACCCCAACCCCGCTCGGGCTTTTCCGAATTCCTACCAGAAGGGAAACGAGAGTTTCCCGACGGCGCGCGCCGGGGCCAGCCCCAGGGGGCTGGCCGTTGGAAAGTCCGTGGGCGGCGGGGGAGACAACGGACGCAGGGATAAAGATCTACGCCGATGACATCACAAAGACGATCGCCTCGGAGCCAGACGTCGCGCCGACCCCCCCCCCCCCCCGCGAAGGCCGCCCGGGCGCTCCAGGCGGCCCCCGCCAGCAGCTCGTATTTGGCAAGGGCAATCGGGGACATCGAAGTCTCAGTAAACCCAGAGAAACGCGCTTCCCTGGTCCACAGCGGTTCGGTCCCAGATCAAGGCTCTGCTGGGCGGCGCATGCGGATCCTGGGGGGCTGGCCCACTACTTCGGGTTCCATGGCCGTCGAGAAATAGAAACGACTTCTGGCGGGTAGGACAGGTCTGGGACTCATCGCGAATATCAGTTTTCACGAGGCCTCTTGGGGCATCAAGCGGATGGCGATATTGCCCTTCGCCCTAGGGGCGCTCCTCTCGGGCCTGGAGGGGGGGTTCTCGATGTTCAGTTCCACCAGATGTCGGGCAGCGCCCGTCAGAGGTCGACGCGTCGAGCTGCAGGCAGACAGGGGCCCCTCGAGCAGGAGAGCGGCGCGCTGAGGCGATGGTCAGCTGCCAGGATGTCCCGATACTGGCGCATTCTACACGCGGCTACCGAGATTCGGCTCCGCCGCGTTCGCTGTCACCAGAGCTGGTGTAGATACCCGTCCGATCATCGTCATGCAAGGGCTTGCATCTTCGGCTGTTGGGGCGACGGAGACTCCTCGACGGAAGACTGCACCCAGCATCCGAATGCCAACCCCTTGGCCAGGCAGCTCCTGGACGATATGTATTACTGTGCGCTTTCGAGAGGTTCGAGGGGCTTCGAGATTCGACGCCGCCTGACTCCCTGCCCTTGAAACTGTTCGACGCAGACGAACACAGGCACTGGGCCTTCATCGATTTCACCAGCCTTCGATCCGATATTCCAGCACGGCAATCGCGCCACCGGGGCGCGCCGCCAACACCGCGGGACCACGGGGAACGAGGACGGGGCGCCGGAGGTGGAGGAGGGGGACATCAGGAGGGACAAGGTGTGCAGGATGCAGGACGACGAGGGATGGATTTGCACGGCTCGCTGCGCAACCACGAAGGCCTCCCCGCTGCGCGCCGAGAGGGCCCATGGGGTTCGAAACGAAGCGGCGCTGTTCACGATCACATGTCAATGTTTCAAATGGAGAACGCGCAGAGGCACGTGATGAGGAGCTTCGCTGCTAGATGCTGCACGATAGGACGCAGCACGTATTTACGGCGCGAAGTCCGCGTGCCAGTCCGACTTGCGTGTCCCGCACGCAGTTGCTCTCCTCAAATGCTCCTGGCACTCCAACCCCACGCGACTTCTCATTGCTCTCGGCCTGAGCCCAGTCGACCCCGACAACCTCGCGCATTCCGACATGTTGGCCTCCACCGCGGCCGCGGCAGCCCCCGCGCAGCACGCGATGGACCTGTCAGCGCTGCTCAAAAGGCACGTGCCCGAGGACGTAGGCGACAAGGCTCCAGCAGAAGACCCACTCGGCAAGAAGGCTGGGGGAGTGGCGCAGCGGGCCGACGACGCAGAGGACACGCTCCAGGCGGTCGAGTGGGCCCTGAAGGCCCAGGATCTGCAGCACGCACTAAACGTCTTGCTGAATATGGCATGCCAGCGCGCGCATCAGCTGAGAGACCTGGCGGCGTCGGAGTGGCTCAGCGCGGCATCCCCCGCGAAGTCGACGGTGGTCGATGGGGGGGCGTTCGGCTGGCAAGCAGTGCGCCGAAGCGGCGCAGATCGCGGCGGCGAAACCGCACCTGGGCACACCACCTTCGTACATCGCGCGAGCTGCGTACAAGTCGCTGGTGGAATCGGACACCGATCGGGCACAGGTGCCAAAAGCGCACAGCCTCCTGTCAAAATTCGACGAGCAGTTCACCCTGCAGTCGGGGGGAAGGAGCTTGGCTCGATGCTACGCCACTTCCGTCTCAAGAAGTGCTACAATGACGAGTGCACCCGATTGCAGCTCTCGATAGCGGACCAGATCACGCTTCGCGGGAAGGCATCACCGACGGAGGAGGGGGAGAAGGATCTCAGAGAGAGCGTGTTCTACCGCTGCTGGCGGAAAACTGGGGGGGGGGTCACCACCAGTCGAACCCCTCCCCCCCCCCTTCGGAAAACCGGGGGGGGTCACTACCGGTTCGAACCTCCCCCCACTCCCCACCCCCCAGCACATCATGAAAAGGGAAGGGGGGTCACTACCGTTTCGAAACCCCCCCTCGAAAATCGGGGGGGGGGGGGGGGGCGGACAGTGGTGGTGGTGGACAGTGGCGAGGGGACAGCGGGACAGTGGTGGGGACAGTGGGACAGTGGTGGGGACCGTAGTGGTGGGGACAGTGATGAGGACAATGGTGGGAACAGTGGGGACAGTGGGACAGTGGGTGGTGGTGGGGACAGTGGTGTGGGGACAGTGGGAATGTGGTGGAAACAGTGGAGGGTACAGTGGTGGTGGGGACAATGGTGAAGGCGGTGGCGACAGTGGTGGGGACAGTGGTGGGGACAGTGGGGACAGTGGTGGGAACAGTCAGTGGGACAGCGGAGGAGTCAGTGGGACAGTGGGGACAGTGGGGATAATCGGGCAGTGTTTGGGGCCGTGGAGAAAGTGGGGAGAGTGGAACCGTGGTGGGAACAGTGGTGGGGACAGTGGGGACAGTGCGGACAGTGCAACAGTGGTGGTGGCACTGGTGGGGACAGTAGGGGCGGTGGTGGGTGAGGACAGTGGTGCTGGGAACAACAGTGGGGGATGTGGTGAGGACGGTGGTAGGGACCGGGAGTCGTTTGCTGGCGGTGAGGGGGTGTGGGGAGGGGTTCGAACCGGTAGTGACCCCGGTTTTCGACGAACCGGTAGTGACCCCCCCTGGTTTTCGAGGGGGGGGGGGGGGTTAGGGGAGGGGGGTCCTTGCAGGGGGAGGGGAGGGGGGGGAGGGGGGGGGGGGGGTCCAGCAGGGGGGGGGGGGGATTTTCGGAGGGGGGGGGGGAACCCCGGGTTCCGGAGGAAGACGGGTGGGAATTTTCCACAGTAGAGCGGCGAGGGATCACCCTCTCTCGGATCTCAATGTCTCGAAATTGGAGCTGGAACAGAGCACAGCGCACGCCCTGGAATGCTTGGGAGGCACACTCAAGCCGGGCACCGCGCCCCAGGGACACCTCGAGGCCCTCGCGCAGAAATTTCTGGACCGCTCAAAGCCAACCAAGGGGAAAGGAGGCCGCAGGTAGCCATATCTCGGGAGCAGAGATGGCCAGCGTTATGTGAGCGGATCAGGACACGGGAGATGCACGGATAAATGTTGGGTCGCAGTTCAATGTTTAACATCAGAGCCACTGCATATTCCATATCGCTACCATCAGGGGATCAATCGTTGAGGTGCTCCTCGTCTTCTGCCTCGGGACTGTGGTACAGACGACGACGGTTCATCCCGTTCGCCCCCGATGTTATCACCCCACGCAGCTGTCAGTTCTAATGAAGCGGGCTCGTTTCAACTCCAGCCCACCACCGACTCTCCTCGCCGACTGTGCAGACTTGGTCACGCCACGGGATCACCATCCATGCACCGAGTCTGGCACGCTCACTGACGAGGGTCAGCAGATCATCGCGCACATGTTCCGCGGTGGAGCTCGGGCGTTTCAGCTTCCAGACCATATCTCCATTTCGAAGTCGTATGCGGGCGATGTCCTTCAGATCGTGAGGCCGACAAATGATTTTATCAACCTGGGCCCGCGCTCTCTTGAGACATCGCTGTTACGGAAAACTCCGCGAGCACAAATTGGCACAATCGTCTGGTCACGCTTCAATGCTCTGCTTGACTTCTGCAGGAGTCACGCCGCTCGCGCTTGCCGCGACAGGCTCGCGATGTCAAGAATGCTTCTGCTCTGCATCTTGAACCCTCGCGGTTACGGAAAAACCCGCGAGCACAATTTGCCACAATAGCCTGGTCATTGTTCAATGCTCTGCTAGACTACTGCAGGAGTCAGAGGCCGAACGTCGTACTGAGCGATTTATGCCAGCTCTGCCCGCTGGGTCGGCTCCAGAAGGATATGAACCGCGTGAACAGCGACTTCACCGAGGCCCGTCGGCCTGCCCGCGGCGCGCCTCCGACCGAGGCCTGGCCGCTGCCACACCCTTCTCCTCCTCCTCCTCCCCTCCTTCTCCTCCTCCTCCTCCATCTCCTCCTCCCCCTCCTCCTCCTCCTCCTCCTCCTCCTCCTCCTCCTCCTCCTCCTCCTCCTCCTCCCTCCCCTCCTCCTCCTCCTCCCTCCTCCTCCTCCTCCTCCTCCTCCTCCTCCTCCTCCTCCTCCTCCTCCTCCTCCTCCTCCTCCTCCTCCTCCTCCTCCTCCTCCTCCTCCTCCTCCCCCCCCTCCTCCCCTCCTCCTCCCCTCCTCCCCCCTCCTCCTCCTCCTCCTCCCTCCTCCTCCTCCCCCTCCACTTCCTCCTCCTCCTCCTCCTCCTCCTCCTCCTCCTCCTCCTCCGCGCTCGCCCGAGGGGCCCTTTCCCGCTCGTGGCCCATTTTTTTGTTCGGGACCTCTCGGGTTTAATCGATTGTCTCGGGGCTCGGCGGGTGTTTTGGGGGCCTGCCCGACGCCTGCAGCGTCGCGTTGGCTCGGCCTCGGCGAAGCCCGAGGGAAAGCACCCCCAGCCCGCGGGAAATATTATACTTGCAACAGCCGAACCCGATTGGTTTCGTGCTGCACGGTGCGCAGCAACCCTGACCTCGATCGCTTTTCGATGTTCGATCGTCCGTTCAGAGGCTAGTTTGGGTTGTCCATTCGTCGCGCGCAGTCTTCTTCGTCCTCCTCTTCCTCCTCCTCCTTGTCCGTAACCATTTTGGCTCAAGCCGCTTTGTTTATTTGCCCCAACATATTGGCCCAAGTGCGCTTAGCTCATGGTGGTTTGAAGTCATTATTTCTTTCTCTGTCTACAGGTGCCATTTCTGTTTCGCTGGTCGGCTACGTGTCCAGCTCTGGCGCTATTATTTCAGGCATGCCGTCGAAATATCACAACCTCGCTGCTCGCGTCCGTATCCTTGAGAAGGATGCTCTTGGACAGCTGGACCCGTCACTTCAGCAGAAGCCGTTGCGGCGGCACACCAGACTCTGTGAGCTGCTGGAGTACAATTTTCATTTCCCGACGCATGCTTTATCCCAAGCGCGGCCGATGATTAGTAGAAAATGTTATGTTCGTGATCGGATGTTCTTTCGTGCTGCTGCCCAGGAGCGGCATGAGGCTTATGCTCCAGATGGTGTTGAAGAAGGTGGGAACTGTGGCAGGATTGTTGCTCGGCGGTGGAAGGGGGGCCCTCGCTGCTCATCCTCGCTGCGGCGTGACGCTCCCGAGTTTCTTCCCTTCTCTCTCAGTGACGAGGCCGGTGCTTGCTTTGAGGTGCGCTCGCCATCTGTGATTATGCCGCCGGTTATTCCCAGCCTTGGCGCTGAGCTGGCGATTGATTCTTTCTCTTGGTGGATGGCAGCCCATTTCTCGTCTCTGTGGTCGGCTGCACAAGACCTCAATGCAGCTTTCTCTCGGCTATCTGATGACCTTTCGGGGGTTGCCGCTGTTGCGCACGAGGGCGTTCAGCTGATGCGTGGAGTTGAGCACAAGAACGAGAAGCAGTTCGAGGTTGTGGAGGCCGCTGTGCTGGCCTCTCTTGTGCGCCCGACGATTGGCAAAGATTTCTCCGCGGAGCTGGTTCCAGTCATTGGTCGCCTCGCCGCGCTGGAGAAGCAATCCTCGGACCTGCACGCCGCTCTCTGTGATGGCTTTGCTGCTCTCGCCCTGCAGGTTCGTTCCTTGCAGGTCGAGGTCACCGCAGAAGTCCCGTCTGTTGGTTTGGTTAACGCGAAGCTGGATGCCATGCGCGGCCTACTGCGCTGCACTTGCGCGCAATACCACGAGACAGTCAAGGACCAGATTTTCAATGCAAAGGCGTACACTGACGACCAGATTCGCCGCGTCCCGAAGTCTGCCGACCTCCAGCTCCTGTGGGCTGACTGCGAGCTACTGGTGGACAACGGCCACGCCGCGACAGAAGAGTTCATGTCCCAGGTGAAGGACCAGATCCTGGTGAAAGCTGCCGAGGAGCTGGGAGGACTCGTGAAGGTGGCTGTGGAGCAGGTGCGTTATCATCTAGTACGCGATTTTCATCATATACAAAATGAAGTTGTTCTTCTTCGTTCCTTATGTGGCCAAGTCAACGAGCTCGGCGAAGAGCACGCTCAGACGCGCGAGACCCTGAAGGAACACTCGTCGATCCATGCTGCGACTTCGGTAGTGATTTCGCAGTTGGCGAGTTCTCTGGATGGCAAGATCGTGGCTGGGGTCTCCTCTGCCATTCGTGAGTTCCTTGATTCTGAAGTACTTGCGCGACAGGTTCAGCTTCTCCTGGTGCGTGAGCGGGTTCTGCCCCTTGCTGTGGCGGGCGGCGACGCTGGTCGTGCGGCCAGTCGTGGGGCTGGCGGACCATTTGGCGAGCTTTGCCAAGTTTGTGGTGGCTCCTTCGTTTTCATGCACTCCGACATCGACCCGTGTTCCTGCCCTGGTGCCGCAATCGACCTTGGCAATGACTCGGATGTGCAGTGGACGACGTGAACCTCCCCCTGCCGCTGGTGCGCCTGCTCCCTCTTGTCCTGGCTTGCCTGCCGTGAGGCTGCGCGTGACCGCCGACGGGGTGGGTGTTCGTCTGCTACTTTTCCCTTGCCGCCTCCGTGCTGCTCCCGTGTATGGCGTTCTATTCATGGGGTTTTCGCCTTCCTTTCTCTTGCCGTTTGGGGTGGCGGATTATTGTAGATTCAGAGAGACAGGACTTGCTCCCTACAGTCGTCTCCTCCTCCTCCTCCTTGTCCTCCTCTTCCGCCCCTCTCCTCCCTGTCCTCCTCTTCCGCCCCTCTTCATCCTCCTCCTCCCTGTCCTCCCTGTCCTCCTCCCTGTCTTCCTCCTCCCTGTCCTCCTCCCTGTCCTCCTCCTCCTTGTCCTCCTCCTCTTCCGCCCCTCTCGTTGCGCCGGCGACGCGCAGGAGTGGCCCTTCGCCGGAGGAACCTTCGATGCTGGTTCACGGGGGCTTGCCCCCCTCACTGGCCCGCGCGCTCGGGTCTTTGGCGTCCCCGGGGCCCCCCATGAAGCCGCGGCCACCAAGGGGTTATCGGGGGCGGAAAAGAGGGGGGTGATGACTAGGGGGGGGGGGGGATATCATGGCGCGGGCCATGATTTTTCCCCAGATTTCGTGGCGCCTCTTCTTGTTTTCTAACGTCCCAGGCCCCCCCGCTGGGCCGCGCACATGCCGCCGGTCATGATTTGCGCCCCCCCTCTTGGACACCCCCCTCTTTGCCGCTCCCGAGGTTAATCTTGCCAACGGTCACTCTTGCGTGCAACCGATTCCATTCCAGAGGACCTCCCACCAGCGGGCACCCGATGCAGCCAACCCGCATTATAAGGATGGGCGTCCTTCCCGAGGGTACCCTTGCATCCTTGCCTCCTCGGTCCATCCTTGGCCACTTTCGTTGGCCGCGCCCCGCTCGGAAAGCTCCGAAATGGGTGTCCAAGGCCCCTGCATCCTTATCCGACGATACTGCATCCCTATCCGACTTATCCTTGGAATCCAAGGCCCCTGCGCATCCTTATGATACGGGTCGACTCTATCCGACGAGATAGTTTCCGTCTGGGTGCTGCTCTTCCACTTCGCCCCCACGGGGCCCAGAACCCGACCCCACGACCATGACACACGACTCCGGGACGAAAAGCTGCTCCCTGGGAAGACGTGAGGACTTCCTGGGGCCGAACATTGAGAACAGAGCGCATCGCTGGATGTTTGGGATCATCGTCACGTCTTTCCGTGCACGGCGGCGGGCCATTCGTCCACGAGCATATCGTCAGGCTCCCAGCCATTTCAGTCATGGTTCGGTGCGCGACGGTATGGCACCCTCGGACTCTGGGAACGAGCGCCCGGCGCTCTCGGAATCCGGCCCGGCTGCGCCGCTCGCCACCAGGGAAGCGGGTCCTGAAGGAAACGGGTCCCGAGTTGTTGTTCCGCTGCCTTTGCCCCCACCCCCCCCCCCGGGGCCCTCCACAGGCTCCAGCACTGTCAGAAGGCGACCCGGGGGGGAGAGCTCGTTCGGGGGAAAGCCCCAGGGTCCAGGATGGTAAATCCTCGGCTGGCGCACAGACGGGCGCCGCTGGAGGCGGCGCCTCTGGGGCGCTGAGGCGGCTGAGGTGCCGAGACCGCCCCCGGACTGCTCGGGGGGCCTGCGGTGGCCCCCTGGGCCTGCTCCGTGGGCCGGTTGAGGCCAGCTGGGACCACCTGGGGGGGGGGCCTGTGCGCGACTCGTGACGAACGAACAACAATCACACACACACACACACCCATACCCATAGGGGGGTCGTTGGGAGGAGGACTGGCTATGGGTATGGGTGCGGGTTGTCGGACCCTGGGGAACGCTCCCGTTTCGAGCGGGGACCCCCATCCGACAACACGCACCCACAGCCCTGACCGAACTCTCTATGGGTATGGGTGTGTGTTGTTGGTTCGTCAACTCGAGACCTTACCAGTCGAGGGCCCGCTCCCCTCAGGGCCCGTTCCTTCCGCGCGAGGTCGCAGCCCACCCCGCCGAGCCCAGGGCGCAGCAGGTCCGCTCTCGCGGGCAGGGCGGGTCGGCTCAAGCGGGCGGCCCGGCTTCTGTCGGGGTTTCCTGGTGGCGGGTCTTTTGGGCGTGGAGCGCCCCAAACATTGGAGAGGAGGCCGAGGGAGAGGGGAGGAGGAGGAGGAGGAGGAGGAGGAGGAGGAGGAGGAGGAGGAGGTCGGAGGAGGTCGGAGGAGGAAGCGGAGGAGTACGCCGCTCTCGAGCGACGTAGGGCCCGACGCAACAGGTACCAGGAGGAGTGCTTCGTACAGATCGGTCCGCAGCTCGAAGCTCGAAGCTCGAAGCTCGAAGGAGGAGGAGGAGGAGGAGGAGGAGCAGCAGGAGGAAGAGCAGGAGGAGGAGGAGTATGAGGAGACTGGGGTAGGCGGAGGTGAGGGCGGGGAGCAGGAGCAGGGAGGAGGTGAGCAGGAGGAGGAGGAGCGGGGGCGGGAGGAGTCGAGGGCGATGCGCGGGGGGGGGGGTGAGCACTTGCGGCGGATCGGCGCGGCAGAGAGGGCGAGGACCAGAAGGCGGCCAAAAAGAATGAGGAGGAGGAGGAAGAAGAAGAAGAGGGCGGCTGCGCAGCCAGGGGGCAAAACCAGGGGGCAAACTTAATATCATGAACGCTTCGGAACCCTCTTTCCGGCGAGTGCCGCAGCAGGCCCAGGACGAGGTGCTCTCCCCGATTGTGCCGCGTGTGCGGCTACGCACGCCTCTCTTGTTCGCCGCGCTAATCCATCGCCGCGAACCGGTTCCCCTGGGCCTCCGCCCCGCGAATCTCCTGCCCGCTTTGGGGGGGGGGTCGTGCGCTCCCATGCAGCACTGCATGTGCGTGTGCGTCTGCCCCCTGCCGCCGCCGTGGCCAGGCCAGCCACATTTGGGGGAGCTGTGGTCCCTACTCATCGGTCGTTGAAAGTAGGTATTTTTAGATTCCCAGATTCCAATCTACTTTCAGCGCCTTCCTACTTCAAGAGTCGAGTGGTTTTCCCTCTTCCTTCCTCTTCAGGAGGCGTGCGGAAACCCAATCTATTTCCAACGCCTTCCTACTTCATGTTTCTACCTACTTCTTCCGACCGATGGGTACCCCCCCTGGGGGACCCATCGATTTCGACACCCCTCTCGAGAGACCGTCGATGCGATGGGTTCCCCCAGGGGGGTGAGGACCACGGCTCCCCCCGTCATGGCTGGTCGGCTGGCCGCCGCTCTCCCGGTCCCTCGGTCCGCTCCGCTGCCCCGGCGCCTGTCCCCGCGCGTGCGCTATCGCGCTCCCGGCCACCACTGCCACGAAGTCGGGCCTGTCCCTCCACAGGAGGAGTATTCAAGAATAGTCCAACAATGCTCCAGGAACCATTTGAGGATTATGTTGGAGCATTTCGGAAGCATGTTCTGAGTCTTCTCAATCTTTCGCCCAGAATTCCCCTGTAGGGGGGACAGGCCCGACCTAACACTACCACCGCCGCGTCACTGAGCGCGCAGCTGCCCAGAGGAGAGCTGTGCGTGAGCGCGTCAGCATGTGGTGTCCACCGTCGGCTTGCTCGCTGCTCCGCCGCTCTCTTCAAGGTGCGCGCGATGCTGCAGTTTCTCGGTCGTTCCTCCTTCGCGATTGCATGTTGCCGGCCTCGATCTACCCACCTCGGGCCAGCTTTCCCTGTCGAGCGCTGTCAGCAACGCAGGCTGGCAGTTCACTACAACGTTGCCCGTCTTAGTTGTTGATCGCGACTGGTGCCACATTACCGGCGCAGTAAAAAAGTGCACGGGTGCGTAATCAAGCAGACAAATACTTAGCATAAAACGTTCGGAGGTCCAGGCGGAGTTCTTGGATATGCGCTGGACCACCCTGGCGGCGCCTTCAGCGCCGCCCCTGGCGCGATCCGCGCGCCATGACGCGTTTGCCTCGTCTGTCCTGAGGCGGTCCGGCCCCTGAGAGAGGAAGCATCCTGCCGGGCCACCCAGAGCGTTCCAGAGTGCTCTGGAACGGCCGGTACATCCTCACGAACCCACGGATGCGAAGATAACAGCACATCGCGGGGCGCAATACGCGAAAATAGGTGCCTCACACCACCCTGGAAAAGAAATGCAGCTTTCTGCAGATCTTGTCGAGGAATCATATTGGGGATTTCCCTGGGGGTAGTTTCTCATCCCCGATCCGTTTCTGACGGCTCTGGGGTCCGAAGACGGACTCCGGAGGCCAGAAAGGACGAATAACCGAAGACGGCGAAAACAAACAAATCGAACATGAAAGTTGCATTCATGTCCCAGGGCAGCGCAGGAGTGTCTGGAGCGGGGGGCGATCGACTGAACCTCTGCTTCAATGTTATTCTCATTTCTGGTGTCCAGGTTGGCAATCACGCGCGGGGGGTAGTGCTGGCATCGCGCTCTCCTCCTGCTCCTCATCCTTCTCATTCTCCGTCGACTCCTCCTCCTTCTCCTCCTCCTCCGCCTCCAGCTCCTGCTCCTCCTCATCCTCATCCTCCTCACCCTCCTCCTCCTTCTCCTCCTCCTCCTCCTCCTCCTCCTCCTCCTCCTCCCCCCCCTCCTCCTCCTCCTCCTCCTCCTCCCCCTCCTCCTCCTCCTCCTCCTCCTCTTCCGTGTTTCTATATCTCGAGAAAAAAGCAAAAACAACAACAACAACAAAAAACTGACAAATCGTGCCCCCCCCCCCCCAAGAGCGGTTGGAGCGCGTGGCGGCGGTCGACCCCGCCCCGAGGGCAGCCGCAGCCCAGCCCCCGCGGCAGCCGCCCGCTCCTCCCCGGGCGGCGACGACGAGCCCGGCGCTGGCCGCTGCTGCGACGGCGCACCGGGGCGCGCCGAGGCCGCAGCGCAGATCGGGGGCAGCGCGAGGGGGGGAGGAGGAGCGAGGAGCGAGGAGGAGGAGGAGGGGAGGAGGAGGAGGAGGAGGAGGAGGAGGAGCGAGGAGGAGGAGGAGGAGGAGGAGGAGGAGGAGGAGGAGGAGGAGGAGGAGGGAGGAAGAGCGAGGAGGAGGAGGAGGAGGGAGGAGGAGGAGGGAAGGGAGGAGGACAGGGAGGAAGAGGAGGAGAAGGAGGAGGAGGCGGAGGAGGAGGCCCCAGCGCAGATCGGGGGCAGCGCAAGGGGGGGAGGAGGAGCGAGGAGGAGGAGGAGGAGGAGGAGGAGGAGGAGGAGGAGGAGGAGGAGGAGGAGGAGGAGGGGGAGGGGGGAAGTTCGGGCGCTTCGGGTCGGAGGTTCGCGGTTCTCTGGCGTGTTCGTCGGTGCTCGGCAGTTTCCCAGCCCCGGGATGCGTCCCATCTGGGGGTGGCAGGATCGTCCCGAACGGCCGCCGGAGACCCGAGTTATGACCCAGAAACCAAACCCGGCGGCGCGCCGAAGGGGACAGTGAACCAGAGATCCAAGGCTCCCGGTGCAGATCCGGGGGAAGGCGAGCGGGGCAAACGGTCCCAGGGATCCGAGGCTCTGGAAAACTGGAGAGCGGCCGCTTTTCAGCAACTGTTGGCTCTCGGGGGGGGGGGATCACTGGGCCTCAGGAGCGAAGAAACGACTCGGGACGAAAAGCTGGCCCTAGGGAGGTGGCCCAGACCTCCGAGAGTCCATGCATCAAAAAAAAGCGGAGCGTTGGATGTCTGGGAGGGGCAGCATGATGGCGGGCAGCGGCAGGAGGGGGTATCGTCAGCGTCGTTTAATGTGTCGCCATCCCGACCGGGCTATTTTGCGGCTGTCTTGGGCCGTTCCTGCTGCCTCTCCGGCGCGTTGGAGCCTTGCTGGAGCCATTTTGGGTATCTTTGCGGCAGTGGAGGGTTGATGTTGATGCCCCGAGGCCCCAAAGGTACGTTAGCGAGCTCGTGCCCCAAGCCCACACCCCACGCCTCCTCTTCTGACTGGGCCGCAAGGAGAGAGGAAAAGGGGTAGGGGTGACAGTAAACCATCTCACACGCCTTTTCACCCCCAGCAAGCGGGCGTGGCGTCGGCGGATCAGTCCGAAGAGGGGGGGCGTTTAAGAGGGGGGGTGATGACTAGGGGCGGACATCATGGCGGGGGCGATGCTATCTCCCCACAACGCATTGCCCCCTCTTTTGTTTTATATCCCTTGGTCCCCGCCTCGTCCACGCACGTCGCTCGGGCCATGATTGGCGGACCTCCTCCTTGGATGCCCCCCTCTTGGCCGTTCCTGCAAGTGGGGGGGGTATACCAAAAAAGCGTCTCCCGGGTCCGCCGTCCCACGCGGGCCCCCTTGGACGGCTGGGACGCCCCTGGCAAGAGCGGTCATTCGTTCGTCCGGGCCACCGAGACGCCCCTGCGGGGTATGAGTGATGGGCCCAAAGCTTGCATTGCCGTGTGCGTTGCCGTGGAGTTGTCTGGACATCCAGTTGTGAGTTTTGACCTGGGCCTGGCTTTGATGGTTCCTCTCTCCCCGTCTCCAAGATATTGCGCGGAAGTGAGCCCGAAGCTGTTAGGTTCGTTGTTCAGCCCCAGGCGGACCCAGAAGCCTACGAGAAGATGACCCAAATGAGACCCCCACGATGGCCTCCAATCGCAGGGTTCACTGAATAATTGTTACTCTATTGCATCTTGTTTGCCAGCTCGGACCCCAAACAGGGGCCTCTTGCACTCTCCGTGTGTTTTCCATGTTCTTAAGTATGTGGCATGCGTTCAATGTGGCGCCGTACATGCTCACGGAATGTGGTTCGTACATAAAGATCAATTGGGGGGTGGCTTGGGCTCTATTTGGGCCCTCTTAGGCCTCTCTTGAGCCATCTTGGCACCTTGGTGAGAGCCCACTGGTCCATCGTAGGCAGTAGCAAGCCCGGACAGGCGAGCACGATTAACTTGCTCGAACATTGCAGGAACACAAGCGATGTTACATGTTCGAGCCCCCTTCGGCACCGGAGACCACAATGCGGAAATGCCACGTTCTAGTGTCCGCAGTGTGCGCTGTTGTTGAAGTCGCATGTCTTCTTGTTTGGTCGTGCTCGGTGTTGCCGTGTACGCGCCTTTGATCGTCAGCGCGCCCCAGACTGCTGCAGAGGTTTCCAAACTCCCCCTGGGAAGGAGCGGCGACGAGCGGCGACGTGGCGAGAGGTCGACAAAAATGCAGCGACTGCGAGCGGCCACGAGCGGAACGACGAGCGGTGACGCGGCGAAATCTCGGCAAATGGGGGTTCCGAGCAGATGGGCATGGCAGGTGCATCGCCGATGCGGCGCGATCGTCCGACCCCGCCTGCTCTGGGCCCCAGTCGGGAGGAGTCCATCCCGGGCGAGGGGAGTATCCAGCTGGGCTATGCCAGTAGTGCGCCTGTCCCCGAGCACTGGGACAGTTTGCTGGACCTCTCGGGCGTCGTTGTGGTCGTCTTCGGGAGATCTACATATGTATATACATATATATATATATATATATAGATTGAGTGTTCTCTTAGGCCCAAGGGCCCTCTCGAGCCTTGCTCGAGACACTCTTGGGCTGCTCTCTGAGCTTTTCAGTGCCGTGCTGCTCTCGGAGCCACCGTGCCGGGCTTTTCAGGGCCGTGCTTTCTGGTTGTTCCGTACCCTTCCGGAGCCCCCGGAGGTTGTGTGGAGCATCCCGGAGGCTTGTCGGGGCCTTCACGGGGCACGCTTGAGGCCTTCTTGCGGCCAGCAGGAGCGCCCCTGCCGGGCTTCCCTGAGGCTCTGCAGCCACCCTGGGGTCGTCTTGAGGATGAGGAGGCCCATCGGAAGGGGCAAAAGCGAGAACGCGAAAATGATTGGAAAGCTCAAGTTTTCTGTGATTGGGGCTCTCCGTTGGCTCCTGGGGGAGGCTCCAGAGTTATCGTGGAGCCGGCCCGTAAGGGTGGTATCTTTGTGTAGGTGGTTTGTGTGTAAGGATCCGATTTCATTTTAGCATCAGCATCATCAACATCATCATCATCATCATCATCATCATCATCATCATCATCATCATCATCATAAGCATAATCATCATCACCATCAGTAGCATCATCATCATCATCATCTCGTCTTCATCTTCCTCCTGATCTTCCCCCCCCCCGCGCACTCAAAACAATAAGACACCCTCACAATCAACAGCTATATGAAATCAATACAATGAAAAAAAATCAATAGAAAACAACTCAAACAAGAACAATCAGAAATCCATGCAATCAAGAACAATCAGAAATCCATACAATCAAAAGCAATCAGAAGTCCATGCAAACAAACACAATATAATCCATACAATCAAAAACGATAAGACAACCATACAGTCAAAAACAATCAGAAGTCCATACATTCAAAAACAATCAGAAATCCACACAATCAAGAACAATACGAAATCGAGGGTTCCACCCCCAACCGAATAAAAACAAAAACACTAAAAATGTCAGGGCCCAAAAATATCAAATCAATGGTTTTCGGGACTTGGGGTTTTCTCCGGGCTCCTCAGGCCAGATCTGCCCAGGCAGCCGTAAGTCCCGGAAACAATTGATTTTTGTTGTTTGGCCCTCACGGGTTTTATGTGCTGTATTATTTGTGTTTGGTCTTTTTTGGAACCCTCACAGGGCTCGTAGTTCTAAGGCAAGGAAACCTGTGACTGTCATCGAACAGCATATGAAATTCAATTAAAATTCAATGAAATGTATGAGGGTTCCGAAATAGATTCAGATTTTCTCGCGAATTACCACTCCTCCTCCTCCTCCTCCTCCTCCTCCTCCACCTCCTGCACATCTTGTTCCTCCTCCTCCTCCTCCTCTTCCTCCACCTCCTCATCCTTCTCCTCCTCCTCCGCCTCCTCTTTCTCTCTGTCTCTCTCTCCCTCTATCTGCGAGAGTATCAGAGAGAGAGAGGAGGAGGCGGAGGAAGAGCAGGACATGCACGAGGAAGAGAAGGAGAAGGAGGAGGAAGGAGGAGGAGGAGTGGTCCGTCGCGCGAAAACCTTTCTGGTTTTTTCGGAGCCATCGCAGATTGTATTGATTTTCAATTGGATTCGATGTGCTTCTCAATGACAGTCACAGATTCCCTTGCCTTAAAGCAACGAGCCCTGTGAGGGTTCCAAAAAATATACAGGGTGGGGGAACCAACAACAACAGCAACAACAACAACAACAACAACAAACATGTGAGGGTTCCGAAGACCAAACAAATGTTTGCGGGACTTGAGGCTGCCTGGGCGGATTTGGCCTGGAGGGGCCCAGAGGAAGTCCCAAGTCCCGAAATCCATTGATTTTGAGATTTTTGGACCCTCACAGGTTTTATTCCCAGCCATCCTGTGGTGCTGGGTCTTCGTTTTGAAGAGACGGTCCCCGCGTTCCCTCCTTCCTTCCTCCCTCCTCCCCCTCCTCACTACTCCTTGCGTTTCAGCCACCCAGTACAGCTCTTCGTGGCTCCATCGGGAGCTCCACCGAAGGCGCCAGTGGCAGGGTTCGCATGGCGGCCTCGAGCCATTTCGGCACACACACACACACACACACACCTCACGAGGATCGTGGCCCCATAGGGAGCTCCACCGAAGGCGCCAGTGGCAGGGTTCGCATGGCGGTCTCGGGCCATTTCGACACACCCCTCACGAGGATCGTTGCCCCACGGGGAGCTCCACCAAAGGCGCCAGTGGCAGGGTTCGCATGGCGGCCTCGGGCCATTTCGGCACACTTCCCACGAGGATCGTGGCCAGGGGGACGCATGCAAACCCTGCCGCTGAGGCCTTCGGTGGAGCTCCCTATGGGGCCACGATCCTCGTGAGGAGTGTGCCGAAATCGGCTGGGGGACGCATGCAAACCCTGCCGCAAGGGCCTTTGGTGGAGCGCCCTATGGGGCCACGATCATGATGAGGGGGGGTGCCGAAATGGGCGGGGAGACGCATGCAAACCCTGCCGCT